GTTCCCACCGCTCTCGTCCCCACGCCCACATGGCATCGAGCACCAGCATGCCTCCTCCCAACGCCCACACCAGCGTGATGGCATAGAAGAAGTTGGCGTTGGCCGAGCCCGCGTTGAGCCACAGATGGTGGAAAGCAGGCGACAGACACGTACAGTACGCATAGGTCAACGCCGACACCAACGGGTACCGCAAGAACTCGAAGATCTGGCTGTGCAAGCTCAGCAGCGCCAGAAACACAGCGTGGTCTCCCAGCGTCGGATAGCTCTTGAACACGGCGATGACACCGGTCATGAGCGTGATGCCAAACAGCGGATCTTGCCTGTACTTGATCGCGAAGGGCAACACGTACGACGCAAGGTGGACGTTGAAGGTGAGCAGGAAAAAGTCACGAAAGTGGTCAAAGATCTCCATGAAAAAGTACCACCACAGACCCAGGTTTGGCGTGAGATCTGTGGCGAACACGACCGAGCCGTAGACTTGTTCGGTCCACTTCCAGCCTTGCTCGAGGGGCACCTGAAGGATGTTGGGCAGGTTGAGCAGCACAGCCGCTATTGAGGGGTTGCCTGGGCTGAGCGCGATAGCTCGTGAGATGCACAAGCCACCAGCAAGGGCGGCAGGCATCAGAAAGACGCACTTGACCACCGCCCACCGCTTTGCGAATCGAACGCGGTCCACGAGGAAGCCGAGCTGGCGCTGGGCTTTCGTGTCGTTTGGCGAAGCGTCCTTGCCGATCCTGGCGATCTCGCGTTCGTAGACGAGCTCGCCCGCTCTGCGACGGCATAGTTGAATGAGCATGGGGAGGAGCAAAATAGGATAAAGCGAGAGGAGCGAGGACACGGCCCACGATGCCGCCAGCAACGTGGCTGAGCCAGACATGGCCGAATGAATCGCAGCGAGCAAAGCGACGATCTCGAGCGATATCGAGCTTCTGGCCACGCATGTCGCAACAGTGTATGGATTGAAGAGGAACATGGCGAGCACCTTGATGGCTCTGCTCTGGTTCCAGGCGAACACGTGCGTTTGTCGAGCCCACGTTGCTACTTCACGGGCGTGGCAGATGCGGAACAGCAGCCAGCCTGCGACGACATCGGCGGCTGTCCAGACGAGAGCCACCGGAAGCTTGTCGCCGTACGAATGGAAGCGCTCCAGTGCGTAGTTGAGTGCGGGTAGAAGCAGCGGCGAGTGGTGGATCGTGCCAGCCGAGTATGGATCCGGGACTTGGTGAGCAGACGAGACGGGCGTCGGAGGATGTCTGAACAGGTAGTGGGTTTCCATCAGCGCCTTGAAGCTGCTTAATGGTGTGCTGAGCTCCGGTCGGTCCTGCAGCAGTGTGAAGCCGTCAGTGTAGAGCAAGATGCCGATGCGGAGCAGAGCTGCGGATGTCAATGTCAAATACAGCAGCGACCTCGACGGATGAAGCGCTCGATCCGTCAAGGTCGTGGCTGCACTGGCACCAGACGCATGAGTGGACGCCTTCATGCTGGCCAGCTCAAGACTCGAGCGCGGCAGTGAGACCTCGATGACGAATGGTGCGAGGGTGGAAGCGTGCGAAAGGTGTTGTTCTCGAATCCGCACTTGGTCAGTGCTGCTGCTCTGCTTTTTCAAGCTTCGCGTCTTTCCTTGGAGATCTTTGAATCGGGCATCGTGGTGGTGGTGATGGACCCGATCTGTTCAGTTGCAAGAATTGGTCAGCCGAGTGATTCAATTCTTGAAAATTGAAAAAAATGAAAATTGTCCGGAACAGTTGAAGGGTTCCGGATTGATGATGGACGAATGACTAGATACAGGCAAGAATTTTGAGGCTCTTGAATTTCCTGGATTTTTCCTGCTCCAGGTGGGGCTTGCTTCGTACTCCAATTTCCCTGCCAAATTTCTCTGCCAAATTCCAAGGAGAGGCAAGCCCCACCAAAATCCGACTTTTCATCCGTCTCTGAGAGACTGTCATTTTCTCCAATTTGGACCGTCTCTCCGAGACGGATCCTCCTTCAACTGGAACGACCCTGCAGAGGAGAGAGAGAGAGAGAAGAAGGGGAAAAAAGTTGGAGAAAATTTCTTAATTTTTGCAGCGAAAAGACGACTGAGCTCGTCAGTCGCTTTGTGCCACTCGACTCTTGTCCTCGTCGTCTCCCTCCTTCTCTTCCTCCATCTGCAACGACACCACAACGCAACGAACCGCCGACCCAGGATCACAACAAACAGGACTCGCCTTCAGCGCAGATCTTTTCACCTTTCCCTTCGTTGGCGCCATCAGCTACCCTCGGCGCGATGCTGTACACCAAGCTCGCAAGCCCACTCGGGCTGGCACGCCCCATCGCCAGCGCTCGACAGCTCTCGTCGCTGACGACAAGGTCAGTGCTGCGAGCTCGAAGCAGCGTCTCTACTGCTGCCTCCTCTTTGTCCTTGCTTCACGCCTCTGCTGCTCTTCAGCAGATCCGATCCGCGCGCGTTGACCTTGCACAAACCATCCGCAGCTTGTCCCAATCGTCCCAATCGGCTGGGTCAGCCGCTGCTGCCACTGCCACTGCCGACGAGACATTGCCCGACAGCGACGTTGCTGTCACACAAGTGCAAGATGGCGCTCCCTCCAAGCCCACGCGTGTCAAGGACGAGACGTTTGCCTCCTTGAAAGGCTCCATCAACCCCGGCATCCTCAAGGCCTTGACCGTCAGGCCGTTCCAGTACATCAACATGTCGGCCGTGCAACAGAGCGTACTCCACCTCCTCCCCGAGCTGGCAAGCAGTGTCGGAGAATCGGCCACGCCCATGCCCGACGGACAGGGCAGGGACATGCTCGTCAAGGCCAAGACCGGTACGGGCAAAACCATTGCCTTCCTCGTTCCTGCCCTCGAAGCGCGTCTCAAATCCATCGAGGATGTTCGCGCCGGCAAGTTCTCCAAGCCTTGGCTCGAGATGCTTCAGAGGCACAGGCCCGATCTCGACGTTTCATCGCTCAAGAAGAAGGAGCTCGAAGAGATTGGCAAGCAGTTTGTCAACAACACCGTCGGCGCCCTCATCCTGTCGCCCACGCGCGAGCTGGCCACTCAGATTGCCGATGAGGCCAAGAAGCTGCTCACTCACCTGCCCGACCTCAAGGTGCAGCTCCTTGTCGGTGGTGCAAGCCGCAACTTCCAGATCAATGACTGGAGGCGCTCCCGACCCGACGTCGTCGTTGCCACTCCCGGCCGCATCCTCGATCTGCTCAACGACGTCGGCATGATCCGTGAAGCCATGACCGCATGCCGCACGCTCATCCTCGACGAGGCCGACACGCTGCTCGAAATGGGTTTCCGCGACGATCTGCAGGCCATCATGCGTCACCTCCCCGCCAAAGTGGACCGCCAGAACATGCTCTTCAGCGCCACCGTCAGCCCCGAGATCCGCGCCATCGCCCGCGCCAGCTTGCAGAAGGACCACCGCTTCGTCGACTGTGTCCCTGCTGGCGAGGAGAACGTGCACAAGCACATCCCGCAGTTCGCCACCGTCCTCGACTCGGCCGAGGAGCAGATCCCGCACGTCTTGCGACTCATCGCCCACGACCAGCTCACCAACCCGGGCAGATCCAAGACCATCGTCTTTGCGCCCACCACCAAGATGACCGAGCTGCTTGCCGATGTCATCCGCGACTCTTCGCGCCATCTGCCCGCTCCCGGCTCGACCGTCTTTGAGATTCACAGCAAAAAGGACCAGCGCGCCCGCTTCAACACCAGCGATCGTTTCCGCAAAGACATGACCGGCGCCAGCGTGCTCGTCACCAGCGACGTCAGCGCTCGTGGCGTCGACTACCCCGGCACCACGCGCGTCATCCAGGTGGGCATCCCTAGCAGCAAGGACCAGTACATTCACCGAATTGGTCGAACCGGTCGTGCTGGCGCGCAGGGTCGATCCGACATTGTCCTGCAGCAGTTTGAACGCGGTTTCCTCTACTATGGGCTCGACGATCTGCCCGTCACGCAACTGCATGTCGACGATCTGGTCGAGGAAGTGGAGACGCTCTCGAAGCGCTTCGACGAGTCGCCAGCCGAGTTTGCCGTGCCGCAGGAGGTGCTCGACGCTGCGAAAGCCAAGAAGCAGGAACCCAGAAAGGGCTACCGCGTGCGTGACAGCGGCATCAAGCCTCCCGCGCCCATCCGCGGTCCTCTTACGGGCAAGTTCACCACCAAGGCGCTGACGCCGCTGGTCGAGGAGTCGCTCAGCTCGCTCGACGAGGAGGACGGCGTGCGCGAGGCGTTCAACTCGCTGCTCGGCTTCTACCTGGGCAAGGGCGATGAGCTGCGCACGAGCAAGATGTCGATTCTCGACGGTCTCAAGCAGTGGACCGTCGAGGCCGGTCGTCTGGAGAGGCCGCCTCACCTCAGCGACGCCTTCCTGCAGAAGCTCGGCGTCTCGCTGAAGGAGCGTAACGGCAGGTCCGCGCGTCGAACCGGTCTTGTCAACGTCGGAGGACGTGGAGGATCGCGCTCGTTCGGACGTGGACGTTTCAGCAAGGACAGTGCTGGTGGCCGCGATGGACGCGATGGACGTGACTTCCGCGATGCACGACCCAGCCGAGACAGTCGAGGTGGCTCGCGATCCAGCGGCGCACGCTCCAGCTGGGGAAGCGGCCGTGATGCTCGTGAGAGCCGATCTGCCCGCGACAGCAGCGCCAGCAAGTGGTGAGCCCATGACTGATCCCAAACATTAAAAGTCGAGTACTCTCAAGGTCTTAGCAAGACCTTGGCTCACATTCTCGTTGTTCTCGTTAGATTCCTGCGTTCTCGTCCCTTTGTATTTGTAGCTTCTTGAGCGCATTCACATTGTCGTTGTCATCAGAAGCCTGTTTCTGTTCGAAGCAGCCGGCGTTTCCAGCGTTCAGACCATCACCATTCATTGCAGCCCATTTCAACAGAACAAGATGCAGCGCATGTGACTGATGTGTGCGACCTTACTGACAGCCACGCCTTCTCGGGTGGCTTGGAGACCATCCAACATCATGACAAGACGCAGACTTCTCGGCTACTCGGCGGCTTTAGTGTAGTGGTCATCACGGTTCGTTGTGGGCGATCGAGGCTCCGATTGGGTTTTCTCGTCAGCTGAACCGAGCAGACGGATGTTCGATTCCTCCAAGCCGCATGCATCCCTTTTTGCCGCTTTGCAAGGTGGGAATGCATATCGAACATCGGAGGCAGCATGGTCTCTCTTTGAGCACATGTGTCGATCGTATACGCTAACTAGTGGGGGTTGAGAAGGAATCGTTTCTGGCTGGAATTATTTTGGCGAGACAGCTCTCTTTTGACGCGCTTTGGGGTTTGGCTTGGAGTGGAGGAGCGAAGGGCGAAGAGCGAAGAGCGCGTCGAGGAGAACAACACTCGCGAATTCGTCGAATCCTTTTGCCCACACCACACCATCATCTTTCTCACCTCACACGATCGCATTGCAAACGGCCACAGCATTCTTCGTCGTCGTCGTCTCGCAATGATGACCATGTCGGACTCCACAGTCTTTGACGTCGACTACCCTTTCCCAGACCTCGACCCAGCTCGCGCCAGGGCGTCGCTTCGTTTCGCCGCGCTCGAATTGTCCGAGCGAGGGCTCGCTTCTTCTTCAAGATGGACGCTCGAGCTGCTTCAGTCTGTCCCCTACGTCGAGCTTCCCAGTGATAGACACTTCCTATCGACGCAGAGCCGCTCGGACGACTCTGCGATGGGCACATCCACGCCTGCGACCAAGCGACGCTCAAACGCCAGGCCCCACATTCCGGAACACTCGACGCCTGCTCTGGGTATGCATCAGCGCATGCCCGTCGAACCTGGTGCAGAGGATGCATCTGCAGGAGAGACTTCGGGACGCTTCGCACCTACTGCGTTTGCCTCGTCTCCGCTCGTCAACACTCGCCTGAGTCGCATGCCCTCGCCCAGGGACGATCCTGACAGCTCGCTCATCACGGTTGATAGCGAAGACGGAGCTGCCCCTGCATCAGCGCATGTCCACTGGCAGTCCAATACCAATTCGGTCGACTGCTCTCCCGGCGCATCGCAGCTTCGTCTTGGCGGTGCTTCCTCGGCTGCTTCGACCTTGGAAGAGGAATCGTATCTGCTGGCCAAGAGTCACTTTGACCAGCACCAACTCGAACGCTGCATCTGGGTGCTTGAGAACAGCAAGAGCACGTCCGACAAGGCCCGCTTCCTGTGGCTCTACGCCCGCTTCCTCATGTCCGAGCGCAAACTCGACGAACACGGCATGATCATCCCCAAGCCCCACGGCACGCTTCCTGCCACTTCGCCCAGCTTGATCCCCATCCTCAAGGAACTCATCGACGCTTCCGACGCTTTCCTCTTGTTCCTCAAGGGAGCCATCCTGCGCAAACTCAATCGACCCATCGAAGCCATGGACTGCCTCATCCGCTCTGTGCAGAGCTTCGCCTACAACTGGGCCGCATGGCAAGAGCTGGCCATGACGCTCGAACCGGGCGAGGCGGATCAGATGGCGGATCTGCTGCCCGAATCGTTCATGGTCAGCTTCTTCCGCGAGTTCCTCGACCGGCACTCGGCGCAGGAAGGCGATGGCACCATCACGCGCATCGATCGACTGCTCGAGTCGTTCCCGCGCTCCGCCTACCTGCTCACGTGCCGAGCGCAGACCAACGTGCATCGGCTCGACTACATCGAAGCCGAACAGGATTTCCAGGAAGCGTGGTCCATCGACCCATACCGCATCGACGGGCTGGCCGACTACTCGAACGCGCTGTACCTGCTCAACCGCACCGCCGAGCTTGCCCACCTCGCGCACAAGTTTAGCTCGTTCGCCAAGGATCTGCCCGAAGTGTGCTGTCTGGTGGGCAACTACTACAACCAGCGCAGCGACCACCATCGCGCCATCGAGGCGTTTCGGCATGCTCTGCGTCTTGACTCGGGCTGCGTGCCCGCGTGGATCCTGCTGGGTCACGAGTACATCGAGCTGAAAAACAGCCATGCTGCCGCCGAGATGTACCGCCGCGCGCTCAAGATCAACCCGCGCGAGTATCGTGCGCTGTACGGCCTGGGTCAGGTGTACGAGCTCAACGGCGCGTACACGTATGCGGTCAACTACTTCCAGAAGTGCGCGGCGATCCGACCGTACGACGGACGCATGTGGTCGAGCATGGGCATCTGCTACGACCACCTGGCTCGATCGCAGGATGCCATCTCGTGCTTCAAGCGCTACCTGGCGTGCCGGCTCAACCAGGGCGACACGGTCCTGGGCCTCACGAGGATCATCGAGGTGTACGAAAAGGAGCGCGACTTTGAAGCGGCGGCGTGCTACCATCGGCGTCTTGTTCAGGTCGTCGACCGCGCGCTGGCCGGCGCCGAGTCCAACGTGGTTGCGCGCTATGCTCGGTCGTACATCATCGCAGCCAGATGGGAGATGGGCGAGATTGGTGCGAAAGCAGCCCAGCAGCAGCAGCAGCAGCAACGCACCGAAGTCGGAGGCGTGGACACCGCAGACGACATGGAGCAGGATGGCGAGCAAGCTTCCGCTGCCAAAGTGGGCAACTTGGCCCTGGCCAACGACTATTTGCAGAAGGTGATCGCAGCAGGCACCGAGATGACCGACAGCGCCGAGATCCTGCTCAAGCGGCTCGCCTTTTTGCGGGATTGAGCCGGGGTCAAGGCGAGATGTCGGTATCCGCACTTAACCGTGAATGCCAAGTAGGAGCGTTCGAGTGACAGTTCGCGTGGCGATGCGTAGAGCTGCTCTTTGTCACTGGGTGATTCACTGGTGAGTGAGCTCTGTCAGCCGTAAGCCTGGCCTAGATAAGACTGCAGCTCAGCTCGGCTGGGTTGAAGCTTGCGAAAAAAATCAATCACTGACGTCTTACGCGAAGACTATGCGGTGCCTTAACGTCACTTTGCTGTTCCGGCAAATTCACAGTCACCAGTCACGCGCCACCTGACTGACCCGGTGGAGGGGAGAGCGTTTGCATTGCCGTGTTGCTCATCCCACTCACTATATAAGCCCAGCCTAGCGACCTCGGCTCCGCCTCCTTTCTTCGAAACCACCCACTTTGAACAAAAGCAGAATGTCGCCTTCGCCACGAAACTATCTGGTCTGGGGCGCCAACGGCGTCTCGGGCATCGCAGCGCTTCGGGCCCTCGTCGAGCAGCCCAAAGACGTGGTGGGCTCCATCTTGGCGGTCTCGCGCCGTCCACCCCAGGTCGACCTCAAGGATGCGCGCATCAAGTTCGTCTCGATCGACATCCTGAACGCGTCTGTCGACGAGATCGCCGACAAGCTCAAGGCCAACGGCGGTGACAAGGTGAATGCCGCGCTGCACTACACGTACATCGAGAAGAAGGACGCGCAGGAGCTGCTCGATGTCAATCACGTGCTGCTGAGCAAGGCGCTCGATGCGACCTACGCAGCGGCTGGCAAGCAGCTCAAGCACTTCCACCTGCAGACGGGCTACAAGTGGTATTCGCTGCATCTGGCCAACAAGGACATCGCCTCGCCCGTGCCGTACCAGGAGGATGCGCCGCGTGGACCCACGGACCCACCCAACTTCTACTATGACCAGGTGGACACGCTGGTCGCGCACGCCAAGAAGCACGGCTACGCGTGGTCCGAGACGCGGCCCAACACGATCATCGGCGCGGCCAAGGGCAACTACATGAACCAGGCCGTGTCCACCAGCCTCTACCTCACGCTCGAAAAGGCCAAGGGCCACACGGAGGTGCAGTACTCCGGCAACAACCTCAACTGGGACAAGATCTTTGTCTCGCAGAGCACCGCCATCAACAATGCGCGCTTCCGGGTGTTCCTCACCGACCCGGCCAACGCGGCGCAGTGCGAGAACCAGTCGTTCAACATCGAAGACGGCGACAAGCGCACGCTGGGCCAGATCTGGCAGGAGCTGGGCAAGGAGCTCGGGCTCACGATCCTCCCGCCCACCGCATCGGGCAAGGCCGAGTACAACGAGAAGCCGCCCAAGCTGAGTCTGAGCTTGGACGAGTGGAGTAAGCGGCCGGAGAACGTCGAGGCGTGGAAGAAGCTGACGAGCGAAAAGGGCGGCGACCCCAAGGCGTTTGCCGACCACGCTACGTTTGCGTTTGCCGATTTCACGCTGGGTGCGACGTTTGATCAGCAGGGCAGCTTGGACAAGGCGAGGAAGGCAGGCTGGGACGTCGTGTGCGACACGGTCAAGGATGGATACTTGGACACGTACCGATACCTCCAGCAGATTGGCACCCTTCCCCAGATCTGAAGTGTCATGTAGCTCAGCGTCTAGCTCGTCACTCACACCGAACCGCAGCTTTCCTCTTCTCTGTGCACTGCTGGAATCAAGACACCGAGAACGAGTGCGAGTCAAGAACCAGTGCCGCGAATTCGGCGTGTTCGGAGTTTCAAAGCCGAGACGCAAAAGCAAAAACACGCGCGGCTCATGACGATTTCCGGCCCGATTTCCACAAAAGTGTTGTTTTCGGCCTGCGACTCGCGCATGCTCCTGCTGATGCTGCTGCCGAACAACACAGACCCTGATTGAAACTTCTCTTTCCACCACCACCGCCACCACCATCACACTCACTCGCGCGCACAATGTCAGCACCAGACTACCGCTACCTGCAAGCATGGGCTCGTCCCTCTGCTTCCAAGACCTCTTCATCCGCATCCAAGCCAAAACGCCTCTACGACAGCAGCACCTCGTACGAAGCTGTTCTGCCCACCACCGATGGAGACACTGCTACACCTGCCACGCACGCTCAGGACAAGAATGTACAGCAACAGTCGGCGTATCAGGTCCGGCTCGACACTCCGGGTGGCATCTCGTATGCTCCCGATGCGCTTGCGCAGCACAACTCGGTCAAGCGGTTGTTCATTCCTGCCACCATGCATGATCGTGAGGCTAAAGAGTACGACTTCGCGCGCGAGATCGAGGCCAGGAAACAGAAGGCGACAACGGCAAAAGAGGAGCCAGAGCTGGACGAACAGGGAAGGACGCAGGCACAGGCGTACAAGGCGAGCGTGGAGCAGCAGCAAGGATCGGATCCTGCTTCCTCGGCAGAGGTGAAGCCTTTCGAGATTCCTGCATCAACAGAGCCGGCTGCACAGGAGAGCGGTGTCGAAGCGAAAGGCGGAGACGCCGCGTCGATCATGAC